ACATGGAAAATTGGTAATTGCCTTGTATCACTGCAAATATGAGGTAGTTATATCCAATAGAGAGAGAAAAAAACGGGTTTAAAGTCCACTTGACACAAACTATGTAGGCCTACTTGTATTAAATTGGTCGAATCAAGTAGGTCCATGCTAATTTTAATAATATGTCCTAGAATCATGTCCGACGGTTCCGTTTCCGCCCTCTTTCCCTGCACTGCTGTGTCATTCTATTACCATCTTTGTATGTTGTGTTATGTTAATTCTGCATAAACCTGGATTTGGTGTTGGTGTTTGTTGGATAGGTAATTGATCTATTACTGGCGGTAGGTAATTTTGGGACTAACATAAGGTTTAATTTCATTTGAATGAAAACCCACGAGGCTGGATAGTGGACCCTATTCCTAGTCACATTCCAGCAGGGAATCGAATAAAATAGGCTGGGGCTATTTGCCACATGTGGTAAGACAATCCGGAGACTATTTGCCACATGTGGCAAGTCTCCGTACCGCAATTATCAACCGATTTCAATGAAACTTACAGATAATGATAACATTAATAATATCTCAGAGTAGGTAAAATTTCGACCACTTCTGGTTAGCGGTTTCGGAGATATCAGGTTACCACACATTTCATGTGGCACGGCTACAGACAACAATTATCATGGAAATCGGTTGATTATTGTGGTCTGGGTGAATAGTTGACTTATTATTAGACTTTAGTCCCAAATTTCAAGACATTTGTTCTAACTTCTGACCCATTTGAGCATATTCTGCCTGGGTCTGTAACTGGACAAGACATAATAAGTGTAATGCAAAACTGTAACAAAATAGAGACTCAATCTCAATGTGGCAAACTAAATTGTTTTTTTAAACATTGTGACATTTGGAATATTGATAGAAAAAGTTAATCCCAATACTAACAAGCCAACAGTGAGGCTGATGTCCCCCGCCGAAATAGGACGAACCCATTTTAATAGTTCCCTGCTTTCTTCGAAAGGCGGGGGACAATCAAAGTAGGAGAGTTGTTGTTTTCCAAAGTCTCGACCAATCAAATTGCGTATCGCTCTGCTTACCCTGAGCAGAAAATGCTCATTATCAAACTTAGTCAAGGTATTACTGTAATGAAACTATACACCAAGTTTCATCAATCTCACTTAATTAGAACTAAAGTTATCGTGTCCCAAAGCATCAACCAATCAAATTGCTTATCTCTGCTTACCCTAAGCGGAAAATGCTCATCTTCGAACTCCATCAAGGCATTGACCTAATCAACACATACACCAAGTTTGAACATTCTAGCTCAATTAGGAAGAGAGTTATCGTGCCCCAAAGTATCAACCAATCAAATTGCTTATCTCTGCTTACCCTAAGCGGAAAATGCTCATCTTCGAACTCCACCAAGGCATTGACCTAATAAACACATACACCAAGTTTGAACATTCTAGCTCAATTAAAAGTTATCGTGTCCCAAAGCATCAACCAATCAAATTGCTTATCTCTGCTTACCCTAAGCGGAAAATGCTCATCTTCGAACTCCATCAAGGCATTGACCTAATCAACACATACACCAAGTTTGAACATTCTAGCCCAATTAGGAAGAGAGTTATCGTGTCCCAAAGCATCAACCAATCAAATTGCTTATCTCTGCTTACCCTAAGCGGAAAATGCTCATCTTCGAACTCCATCAAGGCATTGACCTAATAAACACATACACCAAGTTTGAACATTCTAGCTCAATTAGGAAGAGAGTTATTGTGTCCCAAAAAGTGTGACGGACAGACAGACGGACGAACCCATTTTAATAGTCCCTTGCTTTCTTCGAAAGGCGGGGGACAATAAAATTGTGTTATATAATGACAACCCCGCCGAAGTTATAAAATGATAGAATTCATTCCTTAATTTTTCAGATCCTTGGAAGAGTATTTGATGTATGATAACCACAACAGAACCCACCCATACCTTTTGAATATTAAATCATCAATTTAATTCTGGAAAAGAATATATATGCAATTGACCCATTTTTAAAATATATTTTTTTTTTGTTTTTAATGTTAAATATCCTTCCCAAACACAATTATATTTTAATTCTCTCCAGAAAATTGTGTATAATATAGAAGGTAAAAAGTGACATATAAATCACTTAGAGAATTTGGTCGGAAATCATAAGTATCTAATAGGCATTATCTAGAAACCAAATGTAGATCAAATATAGCAGAATTACAAAAAACCTTTATCTTGCTTATAAAATGAAATAGGGTTTAATATCCTAGTTTTCTATGTTATAAGGGTAATTCTGCCCTACAACCTACTTTTATATCAAATATTTCAATTGCCAAGGGTTCTTTAAAGGGAACCCAGGGTGGGCGAATGGTTAACATGTGCACATTTGATCAAAAAAAAAAAGAAGTCTGTCATTGAGTCAAATAATTCAATTGTCAAAGGTTCTTTAAAGTGAACGCAGTGGGGGTGGTTTTGATTCCGGGCTTGTACCCAATTGACCCAGTTTGTGGCTCCCCCTTACTTATGACTTGTAATTGTATATAAATATTTTGTACATATTATTTAATATTTGCCATTTTCTCTGATATTTTTATATTTCAATCCTGCAATCTTGATGGATTGCTCCTTTTATTTACAAAATATTCATTTTGTTTGGGTTTTTTTTAATGAGGGGAGGGTTCTAATCATTTTATTACTCCTGCAAAAAAGTGCATTTTTCTGTGTATGCTACTTATTTCTAGATGCCTCACGAATCACTTGTAATATGACTTTGTAGCACTTGTCAGTTTTTGAAAATAATTCAGTTTAGTGCATGATTTATCTTATTAGTGCTTGGTTTGGATGTTATTAAATTTAGATATATTTGAATGATATATTTTGGGGGTATGGGGTAGGAATACTGTGTACATATCTTTATAGACCCAGTTCTTGTTTTATAGTAAAGAAAATTTTAAATAGCTTTTTTATATTTAGTGATGGGGGGGGGGGGCATTATATAACACCATTTTATTAGTATTAGAATTATTTCTCTGTTTTTCTGTTAACATTTCAAATGTCTATTTAGTTTTGATTTGGCGGTATTAATTTACTTTTACCTATCATTTTATAAATAAATAATAATTAACAAAAACATTTATTGTTACCTCATTTATCAAACTTTACAGGTTAAACAGAGCAAAAGGAGGAATTCTGCATGGGAACGGCTGCTATACTGGATATAAATTGGGGGAAAGTACAACAGACGTTTCTGTTGATGTTATACACAAGTTTGTATGAAACCACACAAGTTTCAGAAATTTCAACACAAATAATGTTTATATTTTCACACAAGTTTCAATCTAAGTTTGTGTTGTTTGATAAATTTTAACACGAGTTTTGTGTTAACATTTAACACAAGCTTTGTGTTGTTTCAACACAAGTTTGTGTTGTTAAATAGCGACACCTAACCAGTTTGTGTTGTTTTAACACAAGTTTTTTTCAGTGTACTAGACATATTAGGTCAGGTTGACAATGCAATTTGTTAAAGCATTGTGTCATAAATGGAAACGTGTATTGCATATCAAATCTATGCAAGATAAAACTACCTCATAACAATAGAAACAATGGCAAATATACGAAACATACATGGCACAATGCTTTGTCGTTTATAAAAATAACAATAAAATGTGTGTTCTTTAAATGGCATTTAGTAACTGGATAGAGTGACAACAAAACTCATACTTATGAAAAACAGCTACTAGTGTATTTAAGGCCAGGTTTCGTAGAGTATTCTCTCAACGTTATCAAGCTAATACAGTAAAACAGGTATGAGGCAAATATATATAGACAAAATACAACAACATAACCGAAACCATACATAGCAACAACATGATCAAAGGCCTACACCAACACTTATTAAGATATACAATAGCAGATAGAGAGTTAATTAACTTATAGTCCATGGCCAGTGAGGATGTCTTAACAACAAAAATGGAAACCATACCTTAAAACAATTAGATCAAAGGGTTGTGACACAATTTGGTAACAATATACAAAAGTAAGAAAAGAAACCGCTATGTTAAACGATCAAAAAGCTGACTAAGTAGTTGCGATATTAACCGAATATGGGAGGTGATTATTATTATAGTTAAGACAATAAATTAAGGCAATGGAGTATATACAACAGATAAATGTAACATGATGAAGGGTAGATTAAATATAACTGTTATTTCATTGCACATGTCTATTAACACTTGTAATTTTATGATAGGATAACTAGATATGCAATAGAGATATAGATTTAATGTAAAAACAAAAACAATTTACAACAATGAATATAGCACGATAGTAAATACAATAACTAGTCAAAAGATAACACACAGCACACTTGTACAGTTTATAAGGAGTGGTGGAACCATGCTATTATTTAAATTAGTTGATCATACGCATTGGGCAAAAATATCCCTGTATCACGGTTAAGATCTGGACTGTTCCTTCTGATTTGTATTGCCACTGTGTGGGTGGTGGGAGTAGAAGTTAATGTACTGGTCAGTATGTGTTGGTTTTTTTTATAAACACTTGTTGTGAGCCTACCTTCTGTTTTCTTAACTAGTACATCCAGGAATGGGAGGCATTGGTTTTCTTCTGTTTCTATTGTAAATTTAATTCTGCCATTTTGGTTGTTGAGGTGATGGAGCAAGGCGGTGTGGTCTTCGTTCTGACGGAGAATTACAAAGACATCATCGACTTTACGGAGCCAAATTGTAGGTTGGATGGGTGAGGTGGAAAGAGCCCTCTCTTCAAAATCGGTCATATAGATTTTACTTAGAACTGGGGATAGGGTACTGCCCATTGGTAGACCGTGAATTTGTTCGTAGTAATCGTCCCCCCAAGAGAAATAAGTGGATTCTATGCCGGATTTAGTTAAGTTGACTATATCTTCTATGGTGAGATTGGTATCCAGTGAGTTCTCCATTGAAGTGAGTCTATATCGTAGTGCTGCTAAGGCTTCATCTCGGGGGATATTAGTAAAGAGGTCAATAACATCGTACGATAGGATAAGTGTATCTTTAGGGAGGTCTCTAAGTTTTTCGCAGAAATCTTTAGAATCTTTGATAAAGGATGCAGCTTCATTGCCTAATGGGGAAAGAAGGTTTGACAGGTACTGTACAGTGTTATAATATACGGAATCTCTGGAACATACTAGCAGTCTGGCTTTAATGAGGTTCTTATGTGTTTTAATGGTGGCTCTGGCATATGGTGGTCTAGGATGGGACGGCTTAAGTTTGTAAAATAGGGAAGGTGTGAGTCTCTTCTCGTCTTTGAGCTTAACTAGTTGTGCGGTATGGCTGTCATTGAAGGTGTTAGTTGGGTCTTTCCTAATCTTCCTATAGGTAGTGCGATCATTGAGAAGGTGGGAAACAGTATTTTGGTAGTCGTTCTTATCCATTATGACTGTAGATTTTCCTTTGTCAGCTGCTACTATGGTAATGTTTTTGTCTTTCTTCAAATCCTGCAGGGCAATCTTATGGGACTTCTTAAGATTGTTGGCATCTCGTTGCGTCTTGGATTTGGTGATAAGGTCAGCTATCTGGTGTCGGATAAAATCAATCTTGCCACCGGGGGCTAGTTGTCTCAGACCTCTCTCAATATTGGCGATGAGCAGATCTTGGTTGGCTGGCCGGTTGGTTGGCGTAAACTGTAAACCTCTGGAAAGGAGTGAAATCTGGTCCTCAGTTAGGTTCTGGCTACTGAGGTTGATAACTGTTTTTGTAAGGTAATCTTCTTTGGGATTCTTGGTGGTAGGGGGACCTGTTTGGCGATTTTAAGGTTTTCAAACTTCCTCACCTGGTTAGTTCGTGTTGTCTCTCTAAGGTGGTCTAGTGACTTCAGCTGTTTGGACCTGAGTTGTGTGTAGTCTTCTTCGGACACCAGATCCCTAAGTTGAGACAGTTTTTGTTCATATTGGTTGTGAAGCCGATGTTTGGTGTTTCTGTGGTACTGTATCCGTTCTCTAATGAGGTTTCTTTTCTTACTTTTGTATATTGTTACCAAATTGTGTCACAACCCTTTGATCTAATTGTTTTAAGGTATGGTTTCCATTTTTGTTGTTAAGACATCCTCACTGGCCATGGACTATAAGTTAATTAACTCTCTATCTGCTATTGTATATCTTAATAAGTGTTGGTGTAGGCCTTTGATCATGTTGTTGCTATGTATGGTTTCGGTTATGTTGTTGTATTTTGTCTATATATATTTGCCTCATACCTGTTTTTCTGTATTAGCTTGATAACGTTGAGAGAATACTCTACGAAACGTCGCCTTAAATACACCAGTAGCTGTTTTCCATAAGTATGTGTTTTGTTGTCAATAAAATGTGTGTTTAAAATTAGATTACCTGACTAATAATCCTTAATTCGGGAAATTATCTACGAAATGAAGTCACAGCCTATCAATCCCATTGACATAGACCCCCCCCCCCACCACCACCGCCTCCATCCCCACTTATTCAATATTGTTATTAAACGATTGTGACATATTGCTGTTATAAAGATTATGATCAATCGTGAAGCGCTGATAATTACTCTAATACAGATAACGATTATATATAACTAATAATATCTAATAATTATAACTGTTACAATTAGTAACGTTAGTGATTTTAATATATATATATATATATATATATATATATATATACAATAGCGTACCTGTCATTAAAACGATGTTGATCCATACATACATTCCTTTCCGTTGAATTTTCAATATGGCGCATATCGGGTTTACCAAAATTTTATAATTAGTAACATTATATTGATTTTAATATCTATTTATGTCTACACATACAAGAGCATTATGACATTATAAAGAGAAAGACGTTTCGAATAACATGTCTGTAGCTATCATCATTTATACGTTTCTTGTATCAGGTGAGTTTCTTATTTTACACGGTCATATATTCATCGAATAGTGTGCTATTCTAATTACCTTGTCAGTGGTGCAGGATGTGTGTGTGTGTGCGTGTGGGGGGGGGGGGGGGGCTGGCATTTGAAATACGTATAGTCGTTCAGACTGGACTACGATACGAGGTCACGTGCATACGTAAAAGAACCATTGACAGTTGGAATTCGAAATAAGCGTAGGCCGTAGTGCCACTGTTCGGCAAAAACATTTCCCGCATAGCATACTGTATAGCATTATGTATTCAGTTATTTTCAAATACGTTTATATATTTTTAATACGTCTGTATATCATCATTCAAAATGTTAAGGAGCCATGAGCGTACCGGTTCGATGACTGTTGGGGTGGGGGTGGGGGGCAGAACCCGAAATGACCGAAAACATTTCGGATTACAGACGGCGGCACCAGTCTTCTGCGAGAGGCGGGGGTTAATTTGCCGTGAATACAGCAACTTCAAAGTGGTCTAATATAGCCCCATTTATGTGGCTAACTCTAATTCCAGTCAACCAATCAATCGTTTACAGTCCACGGAGATAAGACCGTCGAGGAAAATTTAACTGCCGCAAACGAGCTTCCTGCTATTTCAGTCCGTAAATACAGCAATTTCAATGAGGTCCAATATATCCTACTTTAGGTGGCTGACCTGAATCCCAAACAACCAATCAATCGTCGCGGAGTATGGGGGTCTCTACCTCCCGCAAAATTTTTGAGGAAATTTAACTGCCGTAAATGCGTCTTTCTGCTATATTGTAGCCCGTGAGTTAAGCAGCTTCAAAGTTGTCCAATGGTTTTGTAACAGGTGTCCCACTCCATGCCGACATGAATTCCGACCATCCAATCCCCGAAAAAGCCATTTTCCATTTTAAGTGTATAGGGCCTATTCTATTTATGTCTTTTACAAAACTATTTTTATGTATGCATAACAATGAATATTATGTTGTTGACGATAATGCCAACACTGAAAAAAATCTTGTGTTGGATCTCAACACAAGGACTTGTGTTAAAAATATTCAACACAAGTTTGTGTTCGTTTTCATTGCATTAACACAAGTTTGTGTTCTTTTCAATGCCTTAACACAAAACTTGTGTAGATTTATAAAATCTTGTGGTTTTTTTTTCATATAATTAATTACGCTGAATTTTAAGATAACATTTATTATGTTACTTTATTATCTGTAATAATTATTTTTATTTATTGAGAAAATCTGAATGGGATTGGGGAACCGGCTTAGGGATCTGGGCCCTGTTTCACAAAAACTTAAACAAAATCACTAAAATAGATTTTAACTAAAATCAAACTGAAATTTTAAATTTTATGCGTTTCACGAAGATCGATTGTAACTTAAAATGCAATTTTAATTGATTTTAGTTAAAATTGCTTGCGCAGTGCACAATTCCGTAGACCCCTACGCGCAAGCGAATTATTCAAATAAAATTGAACCATGTGTTAGTCCCGAAATGACCCTCTCTCTCTTATTTTAAACAATTGTAGGCCTACCAAGATTTTAGATATGAAATGGGTTTAGATTATTTTTTTGGGGTCTATTAATTATTTGAAAATAATATAATTTATACTTGAATCATGGTAATATATAAAATAGTAACAAAGAGTTTTGTTTACTGGGGTTTTGAGGGGTTTTTTCTTCTTGAGGTTTAAATTTGGGGCGTCATCTAATTGCTTATATTGCCTTACAATAAAATAAACGGGTGGGCCACAGCTATATTTCCCATGCAATGAAAAGAAATTGAATGAAAATTATTTTTGTGAATGATAGTATGTTTAAATTATATAACCCGGGCCATTGGCAATATTATCATTATTCCAAATATATCTATATGTCGCAATAGATCTCACAACGTAGCTCTAATCAAGGTTTGTTAATGTCGTGATATTAAGTTAGAAGAGGGTGGCGGCTGTCCTAAGTTAAAATCGATTTTAGTTAAAATTGTCCCTAAAATAGTTTTGTGAAACGCCACTATTTTAAGTTAAGATACAATTTTAACTTATAATGTTATTTTAGTGGATTTTATCTAAAATGCTTAAAATCGTTTTGTGAAACGCATCTATCTTAAGTTAGGATGGAATTTTAGTTTAAGACGATTTTAAGGCGATTTAAGTTTTTGTGAAACAGGGCCCTGGCTTAGCCTATTATGTAAAACCACTCTTCCTGTATTTGAATGTTGGGGAATTCACTTTATTTCTTCTTTTTTTTCCTTCGTTCTTGGTGTTTAACGTCCGCTTCCACATAAGTGATATCGCAGACAAGACATAGGAGAGCCGAAGCTGATTCCTGTTTTTTAGAATATGATTTTGCAATCTTTCCATTTGGCCATAGGCCATGGATTTGGTTTAGTGGGAAGTTCTTCCCTTTATTTAATACAAAACATATCGTTTGGTAGATGATCTCGTCTGCTTCTGGATTAGTAGATGTCATCGTTTGGGGTTAGTGTTTAGGTGCCAGGCCCGTCTTATCGTGGCCTCCCCTTACTCCACTGTCCCACTCTCTTGGTTTGGTATCAGTTTTATTTGCGGAATAGTGTTTAGGTGCCAAGTTCGTCTGACCGTAACTCCCCCTTACTCCACTATCCTGCTAGTTTGGTAGATGTCATCTTTGTGGGGTTTGTGTTTAGGTGCCAGGCCCGTCTTATCGTGACCCCCCCCCCCTTACTCCACTATCACACTCTGTAGGTTTGGTGTCTGTTTTTGGTGGAATAGTGTTTAGATGCCGAGTCCGTCTGATCGTGACTCCCCCTTACTCCACTATCCTGCCAGTTTGGTATAAATCCCTTATGTAGTTTAGTGTTTAGATGCCGGGCCCGTCTAACCGTGACCCCCTCTTACGTCACTATTCTACTTAGTCCAACTGTGTCCATTAGGGAGTGGATTTGTTCGAAGATTTGCAGTTTCAGATCTGGTCTCGGGAAGAGTAGGTTCTTAGTGTTGAATGGTATGTTGTTGGTCTCCATTGTTCTCACTATGTATTTTATAACAGTATACTGATATAAAGAGATCGAAGTTTTGGTCAATTATTATCTAATTATAAACTATTTATTTAATTAGAGATAATAAAAGATTATTCTAAATCTACTCTTTGTTTATTTTCACATTTTGTCTCAGACAATAGACAGGGACAGGTTATTACAATGTCTGCATTTGGAAGTGTCTGATTGATATTGTCCCAATAAACTTGACACAAGAAAGAAAATTGTCGTAGGGTGTGAACAATAGTGTTATATCTTGGTTTTAAAATATATCTGAATGGGCGTAGATATAGCCGAGTTATTCTTTTTATTTAATTTAATTGGTTCATTAATCGAAATTTGACATTTGCTTACCTGTAAATGACCAATCGAAATGAATTACTCTAAAAAAGGAAGAAATATTTATTGCAGTATTTTGCGATGTTAAACCCTATTGTACTAGTTAACTGTAGGCCTGTTCACAAGCAAGGTGGTATTTTGTTTGGGCTTGGCCCGAGTGGTCTTTGGTCCGAGTGGTCATGGATTTTTCCTCCCTGGATTAGTCCGGTGTTAGAACCAACTCCAAAAGTGATATTGTTGGGAAAATAGTATGTTCAGAAAACAAGAATGTCAGGTTTGTGATTTTTTTGTATTTTTAATACAATGTATTTATAACGCAAATTTTTCGTTTCGGTTAAAACAAATTCTACGCCCATTTTAATTGGCCGAAGGACGTGTGGCTAATATGGCGGGCGGACGAACTGATCAAACAGTATATTTCGAGTTATTTGAGGTAAGCTAATTTAATATTATATCATAACCGCATATGTGCATAATTGTGTTTCTGTGTGATTAAATATTCAAAAAATCATTCCTAGAAAATACCCTCGCAACCAGTCAATCCTGAATTGCAATGGTTGTTTTGTGTTCTAGGCGCCATTTTGAAGATACAGACATGACCTACGTTCAATTCATTTGGACAGTTGATACTACTATAGTTGTGTTCCATTTTTCAGATTGTAGTAGATTTTAGCAATACAATCCAGCGATAGTTCAGTCTAATTGCTTTAAAAGGAAATCTGAATTCGTACAAAGGCCTACAATAAAATCCAGGTGAATTGGGAAAATTATTCATGTATTTTCTTTATGAAGAGTAGCTATTCAAATTTGTAAATGCCCAGTGGCCTTACACAAATAATAATTCAAACTTGAAATCAGTTATATTCATGATATGTCGTATTTATTCAAATCATACCACCATGATAATAAAAGGTAAAACTTTTTAAATACCTATATTAAACTTAATAGGTTTGATATGGTTCTCAGATATGTTACTGTGTACAGACTGTACAAAACACATTTATATACTTGCTATTAGGTTATTTTGCTCACAGAGAAGCGGTTGTGTAATCATCAGAAACAGATGTAAACTTCAAATGAGCATAGCTATTTGGATAATTGCTTGATGTGGTTGTAGACTCATATAATGCCATGAAATTGGCCATTTGGTTCAATGTGTAAATTGATGATGCATGCTATTTAAGTTTGAAAGAGAAGTAAGCAATAATGCTACCTGACGACTCCACCAACGTATTACTATATCCAGAAATTATACTAAGTCGTGTGGACGACTCCACCTACGAGTGTGGACGACTCCACCAACGATTGTGGACGACTTAACCAGATTTTTCGTGTGGACGACTTTGCTTGTGGACGACTTGACTGGCATTCGACTCAAATACTCTCCCTTGCATTCGCATGTAGCCATACATATCAGTCTCAAGATAATTATGATTGTTAAATTATGATTCCCCCCACCCCGACTCAGTAAGTTATTTAACTTTTATTCTGCCATCTAAATAACTCTGTACCCATGCCTGGTGTTCCAAGTAAAAACCGAATTGAAACCCCATATGTCGATAAGTGTATTCATAATCATCACTTTTATGTATTTCAGAGAAGACTTGAACATCCCTGGAGAAGTACATGTATTTAGTAAATATTAATACCAAAGAAAGAAGACAACTCTAAATTCTGAATATAAAGCCATAGATCTTATTGTGGAAAACCAAAAGTTATTTGTCACCATTGCCTTTTTTAATCCCTTGTTTTGTTTTTAATGTCAAATACCAACCCCTCTCTAAATATTGTTTCATTATATAGACTGCAGTGTAATCCTAAACACTAAGAATTTGGCCTGAAAACTTGAATTATTAAAGAGGAATTATCAATAATTAATAGTAACAGTCGATAATTATAAATATGTATTATTGTATGATGAAATCAACCATTATTTTTAAACAATTGGTAAACATTTCGAATGTTAATGCCGCCTTTATATGAGATGGTTTTATTCATCAATATTCTTTTTTACAGATTTTTAAAATTCTCCATTTTATTTGATTTTTATGCTTTATTTTATCTATCTATAATTATTTGTCCTGTATCTTATCTATTAGTTCCCTTTTGTGTACTGTAGAAATTTTTGAATTTCTAATCTTTTAAAGGGAATATTTCTTCTTAAAAGTAGTTCAATTTATTTGTCCTGTATCTTATCTATTAGTTCCCTTTTGTGTACTGTAGAAATTTTTGAATTCCTAATTTTTTAAAGGGAATATTTCTTCTTAAAAGTAGTTCAATTTAGTGCATAATTTATGTCTTTGGTGCTTGGTTTGGTTGTTATTAAATTTAAATATATTTAAAATGTATGTTTTGGGGGCAAGGGGTAGTGATATTGTGTACATATCTATTATATTCTCAGTTCTTTTTAAGGTTAATTTTAAAAAGAAAATTTAAATAGCTTTTTTTTTATTATTTTGTGATTGGAGAGTGGGGGTGGGGAATTTTGTTATTATTGAACACAATTTTATTAGTATTGGAATTAACTTTGTTTATTAATATTCCAAATGTCTTAGTGCTTGTTTTGTGTGTAAATAGCTATTATTTATTGTATGATTGTGGGGGGGGGGGGATTTTTTTTCATTGTATAACACAATTTTATTAGTATTGGAATTAATTTTAATTTTTCACATCATTTATTGAATAAATAATAATTTAACAAACAAAATTATTGTTATGTCATTTATCAAACATTACAGTTTAAACAGAACAAACGGGGGGGGGGGTGCATGGGAAAGGTTGCTATATTGAATATAAATTGGTAAAATACAACAAAAGTTTTTGTTGGAGGTTATACACAAGTTTGTATGAAACAACAAAAGTTTCAGAAATTTCAACACAAGTTTCAGAAATTTCAACACAAGTTTCAACACAAGTTTCAGAAATTTTAACACAATTAATGTGTAGATTTTAACACAAGTTTGTGTTGTTTGATAAATTTTAACACAAGTTTTGTGTTGTTTCAACATTTAACACAAGTTTGTGTTGTTTCAACACAAGTTTGTGTTGTTAAATAGAGAAACGTAACTTGTTTGTGTTGTTTCAACACAGGTTTTTTTCAGCGAAGGCCATGTTTTGTAGGTATTTGTACAGCACAGATTAAAAGGTCGCAAACAGGGGATACCCATTTTTTAGCTGTTAACTGCTCCCCATCTTTGCAAGCCGGATACACCACTCTATACAATATACAGATGATAAAAGTTTCCTTTGAAAACAACAAAACAACAATATTAGCAACTATTGATGATGCCGGAAACGTTGTCGGACCGCAGGATGTATCATTTAATGATACTGTGACTGGCCATTTCAATAATTCGTCACCAGAGCAGTCTTACGTAAATATTGAAGTAAAGGACCCTAGCTGTGAGGATGATGGAAGATATGTTTGTAAGACAGTTGGAGTGACGAACCGAGGAGTCGTAACTCTTGAAGACGAGAAAAATATAATTATACAAAGTAAGCCTGTGGTTATACTACTGTTTAGTTTTTCTATATATCGCTTAAAGTTAGATCATGTGTTAAAACTAGGGAGGTAATTTTGCTAATTTTTCACGTGTTATTATTATTTGCTTGAAAATGCGGGAATGATTCCTATAATAGTTATTTGACAAACTATTGAGCAATAAATATAATATAAATAATTATACTCATATGTATATTTATCAATAAGAAATTACTAGAAATAAGGCAACATTAATAAAACCAGAGTATTTGCTCTTACAGGATTCACTGCGGAAATCGCCATCTTAAATCTGGTACAATGGTAGGAATGTGTAAAGAAATATTGTCAATGTCATTTAGAATAACATACATTAAATAACAATATACTTTATAAAAATTTCAAAGCAATCTGTTAAAAAAAAACGATCATATTTCGTTTCGTTGATTTTTTTTAAGTTTAAAATTTCCGTTTACTTGTTTTTATACGCCCACATTTTCATTAGATTACTGAAGGGCGAACATAACAATTTCTCTGATGTTTGGTTAACGTTTATGTATAATTACTTATTTCTTGTTTAAAGGCAGCCCAGGTGATATAAAACTAGTAACCATCCCAAGTAAGGATAAATACAACATCAACGACACCATTGATCTGATTTGCAGTGGTAACCTTGGAAACCCTAAACGGGCGTTGTCCTGGGAAACGAAATTACCCGATGAGTCAGTGTGGAAGCCTTACCAATTTTATTCTACAAGTGTAGCTCAGAGAAATTCCTCACAATGCACTTATGTTGGAAAAAGTATCTTGAACTACACAGTACAAGTGACTGATCATGGGTTATCCTTTAGGTGTCTTGTTGGAGGTTCTGAATCCTATAGTGTGAACACCACTATAATACTGGATGGTGAGTCGGTAACAACTAATTACTTAACCCAGTACTGCGAGAGAGAGAGAGAGAGAGAGAGGGGAGGGGGCGTTGTATGCTCACTCTTTCTGGAAACGAGTTTGTCACGTTGCAGCGGCAACATCTGCGGAATATTTTATATTCTTGGACCATGGACGTCACTGCCCTTTACCATCGATAGAGCTCATCCAGATTCCACTGTCTTGCCTTTTGTTCAGATAGCCTAGTAGGAAGTCTACAAATACTACTATTCTAGGACTTTGAAACTGGTTTCATTCCCGACGATAATTTATTGGTTGTAACTTATTAGTTGGAAATCATTTTAAAATTGTATTTATAATTATATTTTGTTTAGATAAACTAGAAGTAGATCTAGAAATCCTACCATCTCAAGACCTTGGAGCTGGTTTTAAGAATCTCTCAATGCGGTGCTTCCCATCTGTTGTCACTAATATCACCGGGGTTAAAACTCTTGAAAGTCTTCAGATCTTTAAACGATCAGGAGGTGCTGAATTCATAATCGCTACCATATCTTCAAAGGGGATTCGGCCCGGCGTGGGAATAACGTCTCCTAAATTTACCATCAGTGGCGGCTTTATCTCAACTTCACCACTCGTGTCTTACCTTCAAGTTGCCATCAATGACCCCGATTGCAATGATGAAGCTGAATATCAATGCTGGACAAACTACCTGCAAGTTGAAAAAAGCCCACAAGATAAAAAGAACGTAACAGTTGATAGTAAGTTTTTGCGTCGTCTTTTATGGCTCTGTCAATTATAATACTCCTAACAAGCTTCCCATACCACCCACTCCCAAAGGGGTGGGCTCTATTGTTTGCCGAGTACAAAACTACCAGAACTTCCCAAAGGACGCCGTTTGAGAGAGGTTCATTTCCATTAGGTCAGGCGCAACACGGTTAAAGTTTAAACGGGTAATCCAATTATATACAGGAAATCTAAATTGTAAACAAAAAGTTAATATGGGATGTGGTAACCTGTTCTTATTGCCCAAAAATAAAGATCAAACTATTGAGCCGTTCAGACATTATCGCATGATTTACTACATTGGGTGACGTAACTAATTCGTCAATCGTATGCCTGACTTAAAGATGTAATCGTCGTAATCATCAAAATATTACACTCATTGTTCATGGTGGTTCCCTGTGTGCAGTATTCTTTAATCTATTGCCGGCGTTATATAGCAGCACGTCCGAGAAAAGATTGTTTTGTAAACAATAATTTATTTCATTTGAAAATGAATTGGGGAACAGGCTAGGCCAATGTTGACTCATCTCCGCGTGAGTCCTCTCCAACATAATTGCAGTAATGTCCTGTTAAGCTCATTGATAAATACTTTCAGGGATCGGATATAGAATCACTTTATTATATTTTGTAGGCAACCCAGGGAATCTCAAATTGTCCGTTATTCCGGACGGACCTTTATATCTTGTGAATACTAAACTAACTATTAAATGCAGTGGAAACAGTGGTGATCCACAAAAAGATTGGTTCTGGCAAATTAGCCGAATTAATACAAATAACTGGCTTCCATACCAAAATAAGGATGACATCTCTAGCGGTGACATAACACCGCCTTCCATTGGCCAATGTGGGAACATTACAAGTAGTACTCTAACGTTTACAGTCAAATATGGTGATGATGGGCTACAGTTCAGATGTATCATAGGGCGAGAATATGCATACATGCGTAATGTTACCATTTATCTTACAGGTCAGTGAAAAGGGTTAATTTGATTGGACTACATTTTAATGTGGTCGCATGTTGTCATCGCTTCGGTCACCGGCTGGCCATACTTTGATTTTTACATTCCAGAAAACGTTTTGACATTTTAAATTCTTCAATTCTGACCATTATACCCGGGATTACTGCCAGACTTACTTCCCTTGAACAAAATTTGTAACAGTCTCATTCATTATTAGCTGTTACACTTGTTTTACGTAGACTCGTTTACGTCTCGATGTTTCCTATATTATTATTATTTTGGATCGACTTTTCTGTTGTTGACTGTTTAAACTTGTGGCGTGCCTAACGAAGAAATTATAATGCTAATTTATTTTTCTATTCTTTTCATGAAAAGAGACAACGAATACAACTACTACTACTGGACCTGTTGGCACAAAAGATACCACAGATAAAGGTTGGTCTTGTGTTGATAATATTATTGGAACTTGGTTATTAGGTTTACATTGATTCTGTATTTGGAATTGGTTGAAATTAAGTCGGATTAATTTTGTATATATATGTATATATATATTTTTCTGGTACACCTGATATACTTATTGAATCATTTGGTAAAATTTCCATTAAAAGTCAAATTACTGCTGTCCATAATTTTGCATTTATTATGGATTTGGCTCAGGATTAATTACGCATATTAATTGTTTTTGAACCGGTCAAAATTCAAATTTTTAAGTAAATTACAAATGGAGAATAACTACCCTTATCGAATTACAAATGGAGAATAACTACCCTTATCCAATGTCCCTTGATCGATTATCCCCCTTGATTTTGAAACAAGTTTTGAAACAATGCTTCTATTGGAAAAGAAATATTGATCTTCACATAATCTTTCCTTAGACTACATGTATATGTATTTGAATACGTTTTCTATCTGCTTACTGTTGCTCAAATGTATAGTTTATCATGAGATTCCCAATTCATTATTTCAGAAGGACCTAATAGAAATATAATAATAGCCACGTATATCCTTGGATCCCTAGTAGTAATAGTGGTAATTGTCCTGGTTTTAGTAATAATATATTACCGACGACGAGTTCAAGGTGAGTAGAAGCATGTGATGGGCCCTATTCAGGTATGGAAAATAGAATAACTTTGTCAGATTTCGCCGTATCAGGTTTCGTTCCCAGTAGATCAGCTTAAAGTTTTAAGAAGGAAAAAATTTGTACAGCGTTTAGTGTGCTAGATCTGAAATAAAGAGTTGCACATTTGAGTCCCCTCGAATTTTTGTGTTCTTGAATATGTCGCCACAAAAGACATGTCTTTATCGAACTAGTTCTTTAAAACGCGGTATGTGATTGGTCGGAAGTAAACTTAACAACAAGTTGCAAACCGCCATACCAATGTTGATGAATTTAAAACAATTTTAGATTGGCAAGGATGACTGATTTCTCAAACATTTGGTAAGAATTCTTTAAATGACATCTAGAAACACGGTTAACTATTCATAATAAAACACGACACAGGGTATATATGAATGGATATAACTGCTTCTCTATTATTTAATAACGACGATTCGTAACACATACAGGTCACGTTTATATCGTTAACTTGAAAACATGATCTGTCTGGTTACGAAACGTCGTTATTAAATAAAAGAGAAGAAGTTATATCCATTCATATATACCTTGTGTTGTGTTTTTTTTATGAATATTTGGTAAGAAGTAATATAAAATGTTGTAGACATGGCGAGCTTACCCGTAGATTGATTTTGACTCGAAGGTTTTGATACAGTCACCGGCAAATTACCACAGCTAAGTAATGTAATGAAATGGTTTTGAACGTTGATCTATTCTGCTCCGTTGGGGGTAATGAAGATGGTCGTATAGTGTGTTATGAAAGAAATTTTGCTCGTACAGCGGCTCTGCAACCTACTCCTATATCGAATTCCAACTATGCCAAGGGTTCTTTTATATGCACGCCATCCAAACCACTGTACGTTTTTCCTTACCATGCCTTCTGTCATACATTACTAACAAGGCGAAACATGCCGGAGAATCTCGATCAACTTTCTCGTCAAACACCGGGGTCGAACACTGGACCTCCAAGTTAGCGATCCGACGTATTACTTACACACAGCTAAAAAAAAATATTATACTTCATTTCAGCCAAAACCACAGATAACCCTGAACTATCATCGACTCAAAACCAAACTGGAAATCGCAGGAATGACACACAACACGATAATAGAGGTTATTTAGCCGCTATTCATCTAGATAACAGATCACAAAACCATCCAGATAATGACAATGAAAGCGATGATAGAAGTTATGAACCCGTTGATCAACGGCCATCCGGCCATCCCACAACCCAGTATTCAGATACATCTTATATTAGTATGTATAATAACATCATTAATTGATAGGAAACCCAGAAAACAACAACGGGGTCTGATATGACGAATCTTCTATTTATGGCGTCTTAAGATCTAGATTTGATTTATTATATCAGTTCAATATCCAAGATCTAGGTCTAGAGATGTAAAGTAACGATGCGTCATTGGCATTTGTCTCTAAAATATTCAATTCCAAACACCTTAGGTCATATTGAGACTAACATGTTAAGTTAAATTTCAATGGTTATGTGTGCAATGCGAAGGGGATAATTTTCCCCAGACAGCAACGTTTCCGTGTCCGCTCTTTTCGAATTAAACCTTACAGGTTTCTTTTTTACAAGCACGCCTATTTTGTTTTCACGTTCGGACGACTATGCGCTATCCTTCTTGTCAGCCCCGCCTGTGCCACCCTATGCGGGTTTTCAGAAAGGTTCGACTACTGCAATGCTGGTAAACATGATTATTTTTGATTCTTTTGCGCTTTGTGACTATAGCTAAATCTGCTTTTTGCAGGTCTTTCATTTGGTTTCAAATGTTATATACACTGTTATTCAGACATTTATTCACAAGAAAAGCCAATAATCAACTCTCTAGAACATCAGATGGCCGAGATTTAAACGGATTGAAACACGATAGCTAGTTAATGATTTAAATTAAAAATGGTGAATTGAGGCTTAGTCACAATAAACAATTGCCGTTGTTACGATAATAAACAACCTATGCCACATATTTTCAAAACTTCAAACAATGATAACTTCGCGCAGAACTAATATGAACGAAATTTTCAATATATTCATTTTCCATTATCTGCAATCTGATTAAAACACGGATCCTATTTCGTTTCGTTTTTATAGTTCAAAATTTCGCTTAACTTGTCTTTACTACACTAGGATCTGGAAGAGTTGTTATATTATCGGCGTTCTGGTTGAAGTGAGGGATTAGCCAATGAAACGGTTTGTTACGCCGAATTCTTGGCGTGCGATGTACGGAACTGGGGGTAAACCACTAGAAACGTTAACGCTGATTGATTAATCAATATCGGACGTCATAGGTCAAAAGCCGCTCGTACGACCCCTGACGCGACCTTCCAGTACAACCGGTCAGATCTTCATGTAGTGTAGGCCATCGAAAGTATAAAAGAACGAAACGAAATATAGATCTGTATTTTAATCAGATTGCATTGAAGTATAGATCATGCAAACTTACATAACTCTCAACTAATGCTTTGATAAAATATATTTTTATTTTGATTTAGATACGAGGAAGAATTGAAGATACCTTTTCATACAAAAAAACACAGATGAAAAGATACAAATAAGTTAATTCCGTATACTCTTATTTGCTCGACTGGTTTAAAATAATATTATTCCCACTTATTCTACTCGGACTTGGTCAATCAGGGTATAGTCTATTTCCTGTTCGGGATGGCATCAGATCGGTGGGGAGATAATGTTGGACGGGGAGGACATCAGGCAGGTGGGGAGATAATTGATACATAATATTAGAGCAACTGCGATTAATAGCTATGGGTTGGAGGTATAATTAGTCACATGTATAAAAAATTACAATGCAGAATCTTTAGATAGTGAATAGAATATTTTATTAATCATAGTATGATTACTGACCCAATACTTTATGTATCTAGAAAATTACATAAAGGAACTAATAGATAGTAAAGGAGAAATACTAACAGATTGTTCGATTATTCATGAATGCGCAGCTTTTTATAAATCGCTATATACAAAAGATGTAAAATAAAATTTAGATGAAATTAATAATGTATGTAAAAAGATAAATAGAACCCTGTCAGAGTAGGGTAGAGATTTTTGTGACAGATATATTACACTTGCAATTGGGGAACTTACGAAAGCCCTTAAAGCATTGTCTAAAAGGAGGAGCCCAGGTTTACAGGACTGGCATTTTTTTATACAACCATTTGAAAGTTGGAGACCTTGTTCCCATCAATGCGAAAATTTATGATATGGTCATTTATAAGGATAAGGGAGATAAGCGACAGTTAAAAAAAAATTCCAACCCATATCCCTGTTTCAGACAGATTATACGGTATTATCCAGGTTTCGAACAATAATACGTATTGCAAGTATAATGGACTTTGAAAACAAGTATGGATTTGTTCTAAAACTTGATGCAGAAAAAGCTTTGATAGAGTTAGACAGGTTGTCAACATTTGAGAAAATTGGCTAGATAATCCGGTCTTTCACATTATCATAAACAGTGTCTAAGGGAGGTAACTCCTCTTAAAACAAGATGTTTACGCCCATGAAATTAATTTAAGAATGTCATTTCAAAAAATCCATTTGATTGCATGCCAGCTCAATATCTAACACTCTTAATTTTTTATTGTAAATTTCTCTCTTCATGGGCCATATCTATGCTTTTAAAATTAATCCTAACTCGTCGTCACGATTCATGTTTGTTTATATTAATGCAAGAATTATGGGATTTATTGTTGGAAGGGGCGCAACTCTTACTTGACTTGGCTAAAATGACTGGATAATCAACCACATTAAAAACCAAACTCCCGGTTACGCATGGGCAATGGACTTTACGTCAAATATTGACAACTGTCCGAGACCCTCCGTATGTTGAAGACTAGGGGGTTCTGGGTGACCGAGACTATGATAGAGTGAGTCACAACCATCTTTTTACTGTATTGGAGTATTTTTGGTTTGGTGACATATTTATATCATGAATTAAGATTCTATTTAGTAATTTAAAGGGTAATGGTTATTTGACTCCCTTCTTTGACTAGTCAAGGGGAATAAAACAGGGATGTCCGATTATGAGATCGCCGGGCCCTGAGGCAGCGTATCTGCCGGGCCCCAGTTTCAAGATGACACCCTAGGGGGCCCCGGTTGGTTCTCTCCTTAGGAAGAAATATTTTGAAATTTCCACCTGAAATACTTACTTAGTTCTATGGAAAGATTTCTGATATAAACTTCCCGGTGCCAACGTGGAATTGTTGATGTAATTTTTTTCTGATCAATGCCCCTTGGAGGCCCCCCCTACCTAATATTTTCAAAACTTTGTTTCACGATTTTTGGGAAATGTGTCTTCATTATTTTTTTTCTACAAAATATTAAAAGAAAAAATATTTTTTGTTACCAAATCATCGGGCCCTCTATTGCCCTCGCCATGATCCGTCACTGTGTCCGATATCAGTCATGCTATATGCATGGACAGGAGAAACACTCAGTATTACCGGTATTATAAAACAATGTCCTCTTACAGATATTAGTATTAGAGGTTGTGAGGGGGTTTCACTGATATACCAACACGCAGATGATACAACTAACTCTCTCGAATGAAAATTCAGGAAATAGTGTTTTTGAAATTATTGAATCCTCTGGCATAGCATCAGGATTAAAAATGAGTGTTGAAAAGTCGAAATAATGTCTGTTGGTAAATCAGTTAATATTGTATATAGCTTTAATCCCTAGTTTTAGATAAATTATATTTTCTTCTGGCAGTTCTGCCAATACCCCCAGATATTGAAATTGAAATAAGTATGGCTACACGTAACTTCCTTTGGGACGGTAAACGTCCCGTATAAAACAAACGTCGGCTATTGGGAATAAGTGCGAGGGAGGACCGAGCTCTCCTGATCGTAACTTCAACATGTAAATCTTGATAAAGATGTTTTAAAAGTACTGTATACCAAATAGTTATTTATTGAAGCATTTATTAGATTTTAAAAAAAAAATTATTAGAATCTTGGGATAATTTAAACAAAGGTCCTTTCCTCCAGATTCAATAGTAAATACAGCTATACGACCGTTGTTTAACAATAAATAGTATTAAGTATAATAATAAACCCCTAAACATTGATGCGTTCACTATTTCTGGCATTAGACTGATGGCGGACAATTTACATAATAATAAGCCTGGTTTTGTATTACCAATTTAATCAAGTCTAAAACCCTAAACGCAGGTATAGCACGATTGTTAGAAACTATCAATTAATAAAATCAAGTATTCCCCAATCATGGGTAAGAGTAATTTAAACAAAATTGAATATAACAACAATGTCTTCTCGAAAAATTTAAAATGACGATCAGCGATATTAATTACTTATTGTCCATTTATTAAGATTTTATCTTTTTTAAATTATTTTTTCTTATATTTATTATGATATTTGTTATTTAAATTAATAATTGGACATAGTGATATTTTTTATATATTTCTATTTATATATAGATTAATGATTCTCTCAATTTATTGTATTAGTCCAGTCTGGGCAGAACAGTAGGGCGTTAAACCCCATTCCATTTCATTTTATTTTATTTACTGTACATAATGATATATAATCTCTACATATTTTGATTAATTTTGTAATAAACAATGTTATTTTTCACATGGATTGTTCCAAATCAAACAATAAAATATTACACGGATCTGTCAGTGATTCCAGGGATGTTACAAACAAGTACTATGAATCGTTAACCGTCCACTTTGGTCCATGACCTCACCAATCCTCTTTTATTTATAGATCCAAGATATTACAAGTGCTGGTATTTGTCATCTTAGAATTTAGGGTAGTACATGATATGCATACTGTACAATACATTATCTGGGATATGATTTCAAATTTGACCGCCAAAAGTCGAGATTATAAAATGGCTGTGTAAAAAAAAAATCTTATTTCCTCTACATACTTGGGCACAAAGACGATGATATTGGGGATAATAGATTCAATTAGCCGCTTGCGAATAAATGGCCTGAAAGTTCCCGCCTCTTCCAAATCCACCATTAAAAAATAAAAGCAATAAACTCCCCTATCGCTCAGATCCCCACCTTGTGCTGCACTATTTAAAGGCATACACTATTCAAAGAAGAATTCATGACCAAAGCAGTGATCTTAAGTAGGGTTGTGTTTTGTGTGAAACGGAATCATTAGGTCCGTAAAGGTGTGACAGTGGGCGTAAAGAGATGACTGTTGTTTCCCCAGTTTTATAAACTTGAAACCTCAACAAAAGCTATATATAACAAGCCAGCAGTGAGACTTGTCCCAAACCTCAAATCCCTCAGAATAGATGACAATTATTACTTATTTGACAATGTATCTTTTTATGAAGGATTTTATCACTCTTACTAAACATAGAGATCATTTTTGTTTATTAACTTCTTCAAATACCTCTTAAATTTATGTAAAATGATATCTTCTTTGTAGATTTACGTACATCGGTAATAGTTCTGAATTACAGCCTTACTATTAATCTGGCTCTAGACGTTGATTTAACCTTTCGGATGTACGTGGATTGTAGCTGTAGCTACTTATGGGGATCGGAAATCAGATAGGGATACTTGATTAACTTCCTGACTATATGAGTGTTGGGTAAAACACGATGTGGTAGGAGTTACATTTGAGATTTGCGAAAGGCATGTCAATCAATTTTCCCCATAGTCACCGAAAGCACTTAAAGGGACTATCCCGATTTGAACAGAGTCTCAAAAACAACAATCCGAGTACGTATGAAATTTAAGCACCAAAATATAGAGGAGTGGTGTATTTACCTTGTCTCAAAATTTCAGCTCAAAATATTGAGTCGTGTGGACATGAACGTCAAAACTGCTTATCCGGACACGTAACCCTTTTAAGATTTCGGGTCAATTGTTTCATTGGGTGACCTGAGATTCGATTCCCGTTCGTTTAGAGGTCTATACTGTGAATGACCCACCTGCTGTACTTGATAACGAAAGGTAAATTTGACCTACACATTATTTTTATAAAATAAAAGTCTGGTTTTATCAGACACCAAATAATACTCCTTGGGACACAGATCTCCATTTCCAGATGAAGACTGACAGGTTTAAGTTGTTTGAAAACGTATCATATATACTGAGTTAGTTGCTCGGCCCTAAAGTAGAGATTTTAAGCTATTTTAACACAAAAATAAGCAGTTTTATTCTCTAAAATATTATCTGGATTGGCCCTTTAACACGGGGTATAATTTAGCCCTGCTGCGAGTATCACGAAGTGTTACGTGGATCCATTACTATCAAGGCTGTTGGAAGGGAAGAAACCTATCAGTGAATTGTAAGATGGATTAATTATTAGTTAACGATGATCTTTCGGGGGTTTTGTTCTCGGTTTTCCCCAACAATAAACACCCCTTTAATTATTTCATGCCGTATGTTCGACATGGCAGCGGTTTTAAATCACGTAAAGCAATTTGTCCATATTGAGAGAATATTTGAGTACGTGATATAAAATCATGGATGTCGTGCAGGAGGAAGAGTGTACTTCTCCATGGGAACTTCAGTGTTTTGGCATGTTACCGTGGTGATACCAACTTCGTCTTACACTATTTACGGAATTTGGGTCTGCTTGTACTTTAAGATCTATGGTACTATATTAAATTTATAGCATTATTACCGAGTACTGGAGACAACGCATACATATTTGTGTATTTATATTTTGAAAACAACAAGTACAATGTACATGCTATTGTTTTTGCATAGCATTATTCCCGACTGTTGAAAACATCAAGTACATACTATATTTCTGTATTTATATTTTGAATACTACATTTACATGCTAAATATTTGTATAGCATTATTCCCGACTATTGAAAACAACAAGTACATGCTATATTGGTATGGAAGGATAACGTTGCCAATATTATTTCAATGTTCACGGTGCAAGATGCATATGTCAGCAGTACAATTTGCATTTTCCATTGCTCCACAATACCAATGTTACCGTGTTAAAATACAGAATACAGTTTTCAATAATACAAATACAGTATATAATAGTTATTTTGCACATTACATTTCTCCATTCTGCATTTTGCATAATAGTTAAATGCATAACAGAACTTAGCATATTGGAACATATACCTTATATGGGATCTACGACGAAGCTCATTTGCATACGGAAAAAAATTTCGGACTAAGGACGGAAATGAATAATTTACGCGACATACCAGTCATTTGTACAGAGTTATTTAGATAGAATAAAAGTAAAATACCTTACTGAGTCTAGGGAAGGAAATAAAAAGAAATGAAATGAAATGAAATGGGGTTTAACGTCCTACTCTTCTGCACCTAACCTGGGCTAATTGAAGACGGGCATACGCCATACAGTGTGCTATGAGGGAAATTTTGCCCGGGCAGCGGCGCTACGGTCAACTCTTATATCGAATTCCAACTGCCAAGGGATCTTTTACGTGCATGCCAATGTGTACACGGGACCTCGGGTTTTCGTACCATCCGAATGACTAGGCAGCTGTCCTTGTCAGGCCCTCCGTTCTGCATCACTGACAAGGGGAAACCACGCCGGAAAATCGAGATGAACTTTCTCGGCCAATGCAGGGATCGAACACCCGACCTCCAGGCTAGCGAGCCAGCGCCTTACCCACTTAGCCACGTGATCCCCGGAAATAAAAAGAGCATAATTTAACAATTTTGAGACTCGCATGTATGGCTACATGTGAATGCAAGGGAAAGTATTTTAGTCAGGTAGCATTATTGCTTACTCCTCTTTCAGACTCAAATTGCTGTGAATATAAAGCCATCAAATTCTTTTATAGATCTTATTATGGAAACCCATAAGTTACTTATCACCATTGCCTTTTTTGTTTTTAATGTCAAATACCCCACCCTCTCTAAATATTGTTTCATTATATAGATTGCAGTGTAATCTTAAACACTAAGAATTTGGCCTGAAAACTTGAAATGTTAAAGAGGAATTATCAATAATTAATAGTAACAGTCGGCTATAAAAACAATTCAACCCTGAAATGGAATGAAATATTTGTGCTAGTAAGATGCCCGGATGTATTATTGTTTGATGAAATCAACCTTTATTTTTAAACATTTGGTGAACATTTCAAATGTTATGCCTCTTTTATATGAGATGGTTTTATTCATCAATAATTTGTTTTACAAATTTTTAATATTCTCCATTGTCTTTGATTTTTACGCTTTATTTATTTTATCTATCTATAATTATTTGTCCTGTACATTATATATTAGTTCTCTTTAATGTACTGTAGAAATCATGATACAAGACCTAATACTCTTAAATATAATAAACTGTTTAATTCAAGCAAACAATCAATAATTATAAAATTATGTATGTTTTTAAAGATAATGCTTAACAAAGTTATGTCCATTGACTAAGAAATTAAAAGCCTCCATCTTGTAAACAGGTAAATCAACTATCACTCACATGTCATGTATTTGATCTGAGTTGTGAATAAAGTTCTGTTTTATTCTTCTGTTCTGCAGAGCACGCCAAGAACTCGCCGTAACAGACCGTTTCATTGGCTAATACCTCACATCAACTATTATATAACAACTCTTCCACATCCTAGTGTTGTGAAAACAATTAAAACGAAATTTTGAACTATATAAAGCGAAACGAAATAGGATCCGTGTTTAATCGGATTGGTCAGGTCACGTCTAGTCAGACAACAATCAAGATACAACATGTACTGTCGAGTATCTAACATTAAATATCTATTAAAGTGGAAAGAAAAACTACCATTTTCAACATTAAAGCCGGAAGTTATATTTCAAGCTCAATTTTTTTGAATAAGATGTTAGTAGAGGCCCGGGTCATCCAATGTGTAAAGGTCACTGACGGATAAGGCCACATAATAGCTGGTCAGGGAAACCTTTAAAAAAGTTGCAAAAAATAAACCAAATCAAAATTCATAGGATTGTTGCTACTTAAACTAGCTTTAAAACTTGCGTAAAACCGGATTAAAGATGGCGGCTAAATATCAATTTAAAGCCTTTTTGTAAAATCCAATATGGCGGTCAAACGGTTGAAAATGTTAACGAGCAACCTGACTAAAATTATAAAATTACAAATTGGATGGCCGAATGGTCCTCTGGCGTGATTTAGAATCCCTGGTTGTACGTAACAAGGAGTAGGGTCGCCTGTCCAACCTCGGGGGATTTCTCCGGGCCCTCTGGTTTCCTCCCACTACTAAAGACACCTACGCGCAAGCGAATTATTGAAATAAAATTGAGCCATGTGTTAGTCCCGAAATGACCTAGATTGTGTCGAGTGGACAAAGTTTAACCCATAACACACTGTATGGCGTATGTCCGTCTCCATTAGCCCAGTGGGTGCAAAACAGTAGAGCGGTAAACCCCATTTCATTTCCTCTATTAATAAAAATGCATTATGTAGATACGTTCCTGTTTAAACAAGCCAACAGTGAGGCTGATGTCCCCCGCAGAAATCCCAAAATAAATAGATGACACATATTAATTAATCGCACATTTATTTTTTTTTCAAAAGTAGCAAGCAATCAAACTGATTATCAACTATACACTAAGTTTCATCGCTCTCTATCAGATATAATCAAATTTATCTTGTCCCAAAGCATCGACCAGTGA